ACACTGCCATGTTAGTGCTGCAATGTGTTCACAGTTTACAGCTGATGGAGTTATACTGGATCCGCTAGAAAATGCAATGTAACTTTTACTTTTTATTTATCAATAGAGCCATGCTGTTCTATGTTTCTGAAATGTTTTTTTACCCATCTGTCTGCAGAATCTGAACCCGAGGTGGCCATTTTGCTTCCAGACTTGCCAAATTGCTGTGTTTTGATGTTTGTATTTCTATGTTCCTTTCTCTATGCTTGAGTTATTTTAAGAATGTATTGGTTTTATCTATAATAATAATAGTGTGTTTCTTCATAAAGTGTGTCAAGCAAATTGTTTTTCATCATATTCCCAGCTAATCAAATGTTTAAATACAGTGAAAGTGACATTACTATTTGAATGAGCACTTAATAATAACAATAAATTAATAATTACACACATCATTTCATTTAGTTGTCAGCGTTTGACAACCCAGCTCTTTTTTACATTGCCCACAAGAGGGCTTCAGTGCTGAACTAATAGCCTAGTTCAAATTAACTAAATGACTCGAAAGAAAGGGTATTTAATTTTACTGAGCAAGAATCAAAGATTTGATTGAGTAAAAATAATCAAACTTCCCATCACTATTGTCAAGAGGAAAATGAGAGACACCAGACCAACAATACAGATGAGCTCAAGGCCGCTATCAAAGCAACCTGGGCTTCCATAACACCTCAGCAGTGCCACAGGCTGACTGCCTGACTATTCTAATATTCTAATATTTTATTCTAATATATTTTTGATGTGAGTCACAATCATCAAGATTAAAAAACAAAAGGCCTGAAGTATAACACTTTGTTTAAAGAGGTGGTATTATGCTTTTTGGCCTTGCCCCTGTCCGTTATTGAGTTATATACCTTGTTTTGTGCATGTAATAGGTTTGCAAAGTGAAATAGCCCAAAGTCCAGCCCAAAGGGAGTTCTCATCTCCAACAGAAAACTCTGCCTGAAAACAGATTGTTTGTAGTCCAGCTTTTACTTCCGCTTGCTTGTGATGTCACAAGAAAATACGTGTCATAATGCTATGCTAACGCGAGCGACAAGTCTGACACGCACTAAAAAACACTGGTAGAAAAACATTGGCTATTACCGGCCTTTCGCTAACCTGCCCTTCTCTACTTCTGATTGGCTAGTAGTCCTTAACTAGGAACTGCACATGTACAACTCCCAACAAAGATCATTTAGAGAAAGATGTATCACTCCATAGCTAAAACGAAGCCTTCAACACAGGGTGAAAAGAAGAGCTGCAGCAATGTCCAGTATGACAAAAATATGTTGTTTTTTTAAAAATGAAACCATGTAAAGCTGTTCTGGTACCCCTAAATAGGATTTTATAAAATGAAAATGAGCACAATACCACCTCTTTAACAAATCTACAATATATAAAATTTTCACTTTTACTTAAAGTCCAATGTGTAATATTTAGGAGGATCTACTGACTGAAATCCAATATAATATCCATAACTATGTTGGTGGTGTATATAAATCTTGCATAATGAACAGTTATGACTGACATTACCTTATGACCCATTTCTATCTACACCCTCCTACATGGAAGTCGCCATGTTGCGCCGCCATGTCTCTACAGTAGCCCAAAAGGACAAACTGCTAGCACGTTTCATCACTACACTGAATACGTACAAGAAGAAATAGAAGAAGTAGTAGTAGTAATAGTAGTAGTAGTCTGGTTTATTAGAGTTAAGAAGAAAAGTGAAATTTGGACAAACGGAAGACCATGCGTACGATTTAGCACTAGAGCCAACAGATCGTGTCTGCCACTGTAGTTTCTCCTGCGCGCTTGGAAAGGGAGGGCAGAGCAGTGACTAAAAAGGTACATTCATCTCGTGTCAAAATTTCTTTTTCCTCCGTAAATCTTTATCGCAAAAAGAGGAATAAAGTTACATGGGACATACATTAGATACAGAACTGTATACAAATATATGACACAAATAAAAAAAACAGGGGTAGTCTATATATTAAAAGAGGACCATATGTTGACAGTTTTCACAGCCTTTTCTGTTGTTAGATTTAGAAATTAAATTGACTGTGTGTTGTTTATATGCTCTGATAATGCTAATCCAATACATCTTTGTAGTGGGGTCCATGTTGAATACACATTCTGACTTAATAGCACATGAACACACCAAAGTCGCAAGAACAACTTCTCAACTCGGGAAATGGGACCAACCGAGGAGCATGTGAATGCATCAGAATCACTAAGAGCTTTATTGCCAAGTAGTATTTTACATGTACAAAGAATTTGCTTTGGTCATAAGATGCTACACGTAGACAAACATAAAGTTGAAATAAATAAATGTAGAAATATCTAAATATGGAATAACAGATGCAAGCAATAAGGTGGAAGAATAAGGTGGCAGATATAAGTGTATTACTTCCGAGTTTATGTTGTGCAGACATATTGCAACAAAAGAGGATATTTTATTTACATAAACATATAAAATCAACAAAATATAAAAATATACAATAACAACAATATGTGCAGGTTGCCAGGTTTGTGCAATGGGGGGTACTGGCTGCACCAGGTCACAAGATGGTCAATCTCCCACCCACAGATGGACTCATGCCCACCAGAGATGAGTCTAATGAGAGTGGTGTCATCCGCAAACTTCAGGAGCTTGACGGACTGGTGACTGGAGGTGCAGCTGTTTGTGTACAGGAGGAAGAGTAGAGGGGATAGAATGTAGCCTTGAGGGGAACTGGTGCCGATGGTCCTGGAATCAGAGAGATGTCTTCCCAGCTTCATGTGCTGCTTCCTGACAGACAGAAAGTCTGTGATCCACCTGTAAATGGAGTCAGGCATGCTCATCTAGGAGAGCTAGCGCTGTTTCATTGGTGGAGTCATGGGGATGGTATCAGGAATGTACTCTGACCCCTTAAACCTGGCCCGGTTTCCACACCTAAATGCCACCAGCTGCTCCACCAGTCACCTGTCAGTCAAGCTATTGAAGTTTACAGATAGAAAAACCGTCATGGGACTCATCTCTGGTGGGGATAAATCTGCCTAAAGGTGGGAGATTGACAATCTGGTGAACTGGTGCAACCAGAACTACCTAAAGCTCAATGCTCTTAAGACAGTTAAGATGGTTGTGGATTTTAGGGAGAGCTGAACATCAGCTCCCTCATCAAGAAGGCCCAGGAGAAAATGTACATCCTACAGAAGCTGAAGAAGTTCAGCCTCGACATATGTATACATTTATAGCATTTACCTGATATCCAATGAGGGTGGTGCTTATGGCACTAAAAGACTTCCTTGAAGGATGGTCTCATGTATTCATGCTCATTGCTCCTCAGAGATCGCTCCTTACTCCTCAGTGCACAAATAAAAGCTTTAGGACAGTCTGCAATTTCCGGTTCAAGCGAGAAGCAAGGAGCGATAAGTGAGGAAATGACAAATTACAGACTTGAGATGCACCTTTCGGCTCTCCTAATCACCACCGTCATCTCCATCAACACACTGTGAGGTTCATCCTCAGTTGTCTTCAGAACTGGATCAAATGTGCATTGAGCAAAGTGAGAGGCACATTCTCTTTATCTTAAATGTAACCGAGTACCTTCCTGTGCAAATATAATGCATTATTTATGCTCCTGTTCACTTACTGAGTCAGAACACAAAGTGAAAGCATCATCACATGTTGAAGTGTCAACTGTTGTTGATCAGACATGATACTTCAAACAACTGCATTTGGAAATACGCTACACCAGGGGTATCAATTAGAATTCAAAGAGGTCCAGTTAGAGAAACTTTCCCGAAGCAAAGGTCCGGAACATCAAAACGACTACCCTGCGTTATGATTCAGTACCATAAAGTATAGTTGTATCAACATATGTTTTTAGTCAACAACGGACTGTCAAATCAAATAATATTTAAGAATATTTCAGTTTTAACATCAAACTGGAGGGATAATAACTACTCTAATAATAAATTCTAAATTTAACTAAAATAAAGTGCCTAATTTTTAGAAAAGGAAATAAAAAGTGTAGCTTGAAGTGATGAAGTGTAGTCCCCTAACAGCTGTAATGCCTCCTTCTCTTTCATTCCCTCTTATAGAACTACCACTTTCCTACTTTCTCTTGTTCAGTGAGAAACATGAGCTCCTGGCCTGAGTTTGTCCTGGCCTGGAGATCTATGAGATATTCTGGTTCTGAACTGCCCGTGGGAGGAATGTACATGTAAGAATCTGTACATTCTTGATTAAAAGCCATGTGAAATATCTTTTCCCTTTTGTCTCCTCAATGCGTGTGTGTTTCCAAAATTTTCAAACCTGAATCTCACGGACTCGACTCGCAAGCATCGGAATGCATAGATTTGATTGGCTAAGTAGCGTCACATGAGACAATTGGAGCACATGCGGTTGGTTTGTGAGTTTCCTGGGCTGCTAAACTAGTACAGTAAATACCAGAGAAGCTGCACGGGTTAAAATAGAAACCCTCCGTCACGAGGTAGTAAGTCTCAGTAATAAATCAGCTGTAGGTCGGCCTTCCGGAGAGGACAGCGGCTGGGTCCAGACCGCGGTCCGCCTATTAGTGACCCCTGAGTTTTGGAGTTTGTTTGTGAGAAAAAGGGGCTTTCCTAGAATACTGTGTTCTGAAGATTATGTATAAAATTCTTTTTATGTAATTTGTCTCGCATGTAACAAAATTATAAATATTGATTTTATTTCCCAGCATATTGAAGGATAAATCCTACATTTTGCTTATAAAAAACATGAATCCAATTTGTGCTCAGACAAACCCAGAAAAGAAGAGAAGTGGAGAACATTTAAAACTACGGTAATATATTTAAATATGAGGACAAGTGCAAAATACAAGAACTGACCCCAGAGTCTCCAGTCTACAGTGTGGACTCTCCAGTCCAGCAGATAGCAGCTTCACCCCTGAATCCTGCAGCTTGTTGTAACCCACATCCAGCTCTCTCAGATGGTAGTGGTTGGACTTCAGAGCTGAGGCCAGAAAAGAACAGCTGATCTCTGACAAACTGCAGTCCCACAATCTGAATAAATAAAAAATGATGGACATAAAAATCTATTTCCAATCCATTCAGATGTGTATCAGATTTTAAATGTGTAGCTCAACATTCCTATTTCCTAATCAATGAGCTTTTCCCTAAAATGAGTTGAGTGACTTTGTCATTGTGTTATTGTGGATCATCATCTAAATGTCAGCACATTCATACACCTATTCATGTCAACACATAAATAACATGGTGCTGATCTGAGGCCTGTGTGTGTTCTTAAGGATCAAAATCACTGACCAGACATTATTTTTGAAAACAAATTGAGATGAACAGAAGCCAAAGAAATATTTCTACTTCAACAAGTAAACTTGATCAGTTCAAAACAAATATTAGTTCAGAGGATCTTCTGTACTGATGTGACCATTCACCAAAAATTAGAAACATTCATTTACTTTAACGACTAAAAGCGGACATTTTCCGCATGACAATTTGAACAAAAGCAAATCTACAACTTTATGGATAGAAGTTATGCATGAACATAAATTAAGTTCAATTGTAAATTAAACATATCAGATCTACAATAGGAACAGTGAACTGACCTCAGAGCCTCCAGTTTACAATGTGGACTCTCCAGTCCATCTGAGAGCAGCTTCACTCCTGAATCCTGCAGCTTGTTGTTACTCAGGTCGAGCTCTCTAAGATGTGATGGGTTGGACTTCAGAGCTGAGGCCAGAGAAGCACAGCTAATCTCTGACAAACTGCAGCGACTCAATCTGAATAAAGAATAAATGATGCAAATTAAAGCTGCAAGCAGTGTTGAACTGGCCCTCAGCCCCTTGCCCGCCTCGGGTAGAGCAACACGACAGGCCAGCTCACACGGCTCTGAAGTTAACACTGCACATATCTCACAGGTAAAGTGTCAAAAACATTTGACAACATAAGGCGATTCCCCAACAGACACGTGCAGAGGGGGGTGCTATGGGTGCTTGAGCACCTGCCCTTTTGCCCTTTTTTCAATTAAATATTTAGTTTATTTATTTATTTTTAAAATTGTAAAGGCCCTTTTGTGAAGACCTACCGAATCAAACTATTAGTAAAATGAATGAATAATAATTTCGCAGTAAATAAAATTACCCACATCATGACCTTTCACCTGATGACCTCACCCGTGACGAGCCCTCCCGTTCACACACCGTTAGTGATTCAGCAGCACTGACTACACTTGCGATTCCGCCGGTAAGGGTTTACCTCAATGTGCTTGTTGTTGGTCGTATTTTGCTAGAAAGACGCAAAGAGAGCGGCACAGTTGTTGTATATTGCTGTGTCGCCTGTAGAAGTAATGTTAGCTGCCGGCTAACACTGTGCCGACAGCTAACATTACTTTCTACACACAGATAAACTAAGGTGCTCTGTTGATTTCGTTCTTGCTGTTTGATGGAGAAAAGTTTCACAGGTGTTGCGAGGTCTGGTATTTTTTATGTAATATGACTAAAAAACTTTCACTTGAACTAGGCGTAGCTTAATAAAAAACGTAGTGTGCCTACTGATAATTATTCCTCCGACTTATAGCCTTTTTTTAAATGATCAGACCAGTATTTGAATAGATTTAATAGCAAACCTACTATATAAACTAAATAACTGGAAATACATGTAATAATGTCAGTTTCAATGCAAAATAAATAATATTCCTGACATCAAAGTGAAGAGGGAAGAAGAAATGGTCCTATATCGATTTCAGACAAAGGTATGAAATGTTAATGTGAAAGGTAAATGCCGCTCTGACATGGTTATTATGGGCCAACAGAAAGAACACACATCTTAGTTTATTTAGATATATGATTAAACAGATCAATTAAAATCCCAAATATCTCAGAATCACAATGCAATATATAAAATTATTATAACACTATTGCCTATAGACACACACACACACACACCTTCACCTGTCCTGTCTCACTCTTACCCCTGCCTTAGCTAAACTAGTCCTTTCTCCCAGTACTGTTTCCTTTCCAGATTATTTCCCACACTTTTTTGAATCTGGTATCTTATTTCCTCTACCTGCAGCTCTCGGTGTGCAGCAGTCTCTGTGAGCATCTCCTTCTTATTTTCTCATAGCAGTCAGCCTTGGCAGTGGCTGCAGCTACAGCAGGTCAGTCATAGTGAGCCGGTCCCAAATACCCTCAGCAATCTTTACATCTTGTCATGGTCACATATTTGTTTAATTATCTAATATACATCATTTGTTTGTTATAATAAATCTAGTCACAGATCACCCTTCAGTAGTATCAGCAGCAACAACAACAGCATCAGTAGCAACATCCCCAGCAACCCCTCGACAGCAAATGTTCCCTGTTATGTCAGCCCACAGTGTTTTAAAGCTGGAGCTTTCCTGTGTTTCTTTTTCAAAACTGTGTCACAGCATTTGCTGATGTATTGATACATAAGTATCAGTATACGTATATCAGCAAGGAATACATAACGATATATTTCTGAGAACAGCCCAATTGAAATCTTTGTTCCATGTGCCCCTTTTATACTTTGAGCACCTGCCCTTCCAAAGGTCTCTGCACGGCCCCAACACCTTCATCAGTAACATCCTGCAATCTCATCATCAAAACGGCAAAGCAAAACTTCTTCCTTGCGGAAGCTCAGATAGTCTCGCCAAGAACAGACTGGAGCAGATTGTCACTAAAACCTCCAACGTAATCAGTTGTGACTTCCCTCCAGTCAACGCACTATACATAAAGTGCACCTTAAGCTAAACTAAATTAACCAAGGACCTCTCCCACTCAGCCCATCACCTGTTTCTCCCCTCTGCCGCTTTGCGCCTGAATCAATCATTGAACTGAACAGTACATTTTATACCACACACATTCACTGTTAAGTATATTTTCACATTCTTTGGGTCTGTTTTGTTGAAAATGGTTTATGGTGTCTGGTTCTTCTGTCTTCGTTCTGTGCTGGAACTGAACTACCATGCTGTACCAAAACAATTACCACCGAAAATGTGTGGCAATAAATTATCCATCAATCTATCTATCTATCTGTATCTATCCATCTATCCATCCATCCATCTATGGGTATACCTTCATGAGGCTTACTTTAAGTTTAGAGATGTTACATCTGCATCAAGCTTCCATTGCCCCTCATAAAAGCAGCTTCCTGTTTCATAGTAAATAATTCCTTGCTATGGCAATTGCGTTTTAAAAAGAAACAATCAACAAGATCTTAAGGCTTTCCTGCAGAACTTTCAGATGGATTTGGTCAACCTGCTTGGAGGAACATACAGTATTAAAGTTTAAAACCAGCCAGTAGGTGCTGCTATGACTATGACTGGATATTGGCATGTAGAACTCTTAAAACACATTTAAAGTATGGGACAGATACTGTCATGTGAAGTTCTCACAGTTAAGGTCATGTGTTTGTGAATAGTGTCAAGTCTGTGTCTTTACTCTAATGCTGATGGCTTCAGCTTTACCCTGCTTTACATTGCTGATAATCACATCTGGACTTACCGAGCCTTTCTGCAGTTCCTCACAGCTGGAATCAGTCTCAGTCGTCCCTCCACTGACGTGTTGTACGTCTTGAGGTCCAACTCATCCAGAACCTCCTCGGACATCTGCAGCATGTAGGCCAGAGCTGAGCAGTGGATCTCAGAGAGTTCCTTCTCTGATCTGTTCTCTGACTTCAGGAACTCTTGGATCTCCTGATGTACTGAGTGGTCGTTCATCTCCGTCAGACAGTGGAAGATGTTGATGCTTCTGTCAGGAGAGATCTCACGACTGTTCATCTCCTTCAGGTTGTTGATGGCTTTCTGGATAATTTCTGGACTGTTGTCTGTCCGACCCAGCAGGCCTCCTAAGAGTCTCTGGTTGGACTCCAGAGAGAGGCCATGAAGGAAGCGAACAAACAGGTCCAGGTGGCCATTTTTACTCTTGAGAGATTTCTCTAGGGCTTCCTTCAGGAAGACATTCAATCTGTCATTGATTCCAAAATACTGAGAAAGCTTCTTGGAAAAAAACTTTAGGATTAAGTCCCTGTATTTGCTGTCTTCCAGGAAGGCCTTCAGTACCTCTGTGTTCCTGCTGGTGTAACAGTGGAACATGTAGACTGCAGCCAGAAACTCCTGAACGCTCAGATGAACAAAGCAGTAGACTGTTTTCTGGAAGATCACACTCTCTCTTTTGAAGATCTCTGTACAAACTCCTGAGTACACCGAGGCCTCTGTGACATCAAGACCACACTGCTCCAGGTCTTCTTGGTAGAACATGATGTTTCCTTTCTCCAGCTGTTCAAACGCCAGCCTCCCCAGCTTCAGAAGAACCTCCCTGTCAGCCTCCGTCAGCTCCTGTGGACTCGTCTCATGTCCCTCATCGTACTTCTGCTTCTTCCTCTTTATCTGAACCAGCAGGAAGTGTGAGTACATGTCAGTCAGGGTCTTGGGCAGCTCTCCTCTCTGCTCTGTAGTCAACATGTGCTCCAGAACTGTAGCAGTGATCCAGCAGAAGACTGGGATCTGACACATGATGTGGAGGCTCCTGGAGGTCTTGATGTGTGAGATGATTCTGCTGGACAGCTCTTCATCACTGACTCTCCTCCTGAAGTACTCCTCCTTCTGGGCGTCAGTGAAGCCTCGTACTTCCGTTACCCTGCCGACACACGAAGGAGGGATCTGATTGGCCGCCGCAGGTCGGGAAGTTATCCAGACGAGAGCCGAGGGAAGCAGATTCCCCTCGATGAGGTTTGTCAGCAGCAGGTTGACTGATGACTTCTGTGTGACATCAGACACAACCTCACTGTTGTGGAAATCCAATGAAAGTCTGCTTTCATCCAGGCCGTCAAAGATGAACAACAGTTTCCAGACGGCGAGCTTCTCTGCTGGGACCTTCTGTAATGTTGGATGGAAAACATGGAGCAGCGTGAGGAGACTGTGCCGCTCATCTTTGATCAAGTTCAGCTCCCTGAACGAGAGCAGAACCAGCAGACTGACATCTTGGTTTTCCGAGCCCTCTGCCCAGTCCAGAGTGAACTTCTGCACCGAGAAGGTTTTTCCAACGCCAGCGACGCCGTTGGTCAGAACCACTCTGATGGCTCTCTGTTGGCCAGGTAAGGCTTTAAAGATGTCCTGGCACCTGATTGGAGCGTCATGGAGGGTCTCCTTCTTGGAAGCTGTCTCAAGCTGCCTCACCTCATGCTGGGTATTAACCTCTTCACTCTGTCCCTCTGTGATGTAGAGCTCAGTGTAGATCCTGTTGAGGAGGGTTCCACTTCCTGTTTCATCACTTCCTTCAGTCACACGTTCACATCTCCTCCTCAGACTGATCTTATGTTCATCTAAAACCTCCTGCAGACCACCTCTCACTAAAGAAGAGAAGAAAGTTGTGACATTGTAATGAGCTACTTTTAGCTCAGAGCTCGTTCCTTGCTCAGGAGGTTCTCATCATCTTGTGTCTAGACTACTGCAACTCGCTCCTCGCTGGTCTGCTACATATGCCAACCGACCTCTGCAGCCGCAAAGCAGAATGCAGCTTGGAGGTGGTCTTCAACCTACCCAAGTTCTGCCACACTACACTGCTCCTTCACATCCTGCACTGTCAAGTCACTGCCGTTTGCCTACCATGCTGTGAATGGCCCAGCTCGCCCAATATGCTCTGCTACTGCCAATCAGCTTGCTCCCTCATTATGAAGGGGTCTAGCTACCGCTTAACAAAACCCCACTGACATCAGGACAGCAGAAACTCTACACATCTTCAGCCTGAAAACTAGAAACTAAATGCAGCTCTTGAAGCAGTTCAGCTTATTTGATGAAGCTGATGTACCTGCATGGTTCTTGTCATTTCTGGGTTGAATGTTCTTATTGTAAGTCTCTAAATAAACGTAATGTAATGAAATGTAGCAGGTTCCATGTTTAAGATGTACAGATGTCCAGTCTTACTTTGTACAGAGCTGCTCTGACTGGCTGTCTGCAGTCCAGCTCTGGTTCTGGATCTGTCTCCACACTGGGGACAGGAGGAGTGTCCCGATGAAGCAGACTGGTCCCAGTATGAGGTGATGCACCGTCTGCAGAACCAGTGTCCACAGCTGGTAGAGACTGGATCCTTCAGGACGTCCTGACACAAAGCACAGCAGGACGGCTGCTCCTCCACAGGAACAGGACTCCTCTTCCTCTCTCTGTGAAGACATTTCTTTAGAACTAAAATCATTTGTTGCTTGTAGTTGAAAATCTCTGTGTAGAAGCTCAGATGGTCACAGAGAAAAGTAAAAGTGTCGTTACTTTTCTGTTTGAATTCAGCTGTCTATTTTCTTGAAGTGTCAATCCTGAACTGGAGGTTCTCAGGTGTTTTGCTCTTAGTTTGAAACAGAATCTGCACTAATAGTTCTGCATCAGGAATATAAATCTGTTAGCAGAACATTTTGTCTTCATCCTCAATGCATCATCTTCCATCAGGTCAGTTTACAGTAAAAACTGTCTCTTACTTTGTGTCTGAGGGTCCAGGTTCATTGCTGAAGAGTAGAGGATAATTCTTGGACTGGTCACTCTTCATAGACAGACAGCTGGATCCTGCAGACTCTGCTCTCTGTCTGTTGGACTGAACTCTGCAAACACAAGATGTTTTTATTCATATCACATGAATCATTGATAAATAAGACAGCAGTCACAGGTAATAAGAGGAAGACGGCAAAACTTGTCTCTCTTTTTGGCAGAAATTTGAGTTAGCAATTACATTTTAGCAGAAATTAAATATGTAAATACAAAATCAACAGAAAACATGGCAGAAGTAACTGAAAATTAGTCATAAATGAGTTAGCAGTTCTCTTACTTTGTGTCTGAGGGTCCAGGTTCATTGCTGAAGAGTAGAGGATAATTCTTGGACTGGTCACTCTTCAGAGACAGACAGCTGGATCCTGCAGACTCTGCTCTCTGTCTGTTGGACTGAACTCTGCAAACACAAGATGTTTTTATTCATATCACATGAATCATTGATAAATAACACAGATAGTAACAGAAAGACATCAAAACATTTTTCTCTTTGTTGAAATTTTAGTTAGCAATTACATTTTAGCAGAAATTATATAAACACAAAATCGACAGACAATATGAAAGAGGGAACTTAAAGGGAATCATATAAATTAGTTAATAGCAGTTCTCTTACTTTGTGTCTGAGGGTCCAGGTCCATTGCTGAAATCTGGAGGTTTACGGTGGGACCGGTCACTCTTCAGAGACAGACAGATGGATCCTGCAGACTCTGCTCTGTCCTCCTCTTCCTCCACACAAACACTCATCTTCTGGTCTGAAGTCAGTCTGAGAGGTGAAACAGTGACACTGACTGTGAGCTCAGAGCACAAGAACCAGGAAACAAGTCTGAGAACAGGAAGTAACACACTAACTGTAGCAGGTCATGACTTTGGGTGCTTCTCAAATCTTTTATTTGTTGTTTCCTCGCCCTTCACTAAAACAGGAAGTTGTTCCGCTTCGCCATCTTGCAGGCTGTCCCAAAGCTCTTATTTGCGCTCCGAGGAGCGATCTCTGAGTAGATACACCAGTGCATCCTTTGCGGAAGACTTTTACTGAGCGACACTATTGGTAAAAAAGCGTCGGGTTTATATGATGGAAGGTGATCGATCAGTGACCAGTGATGTGACTTGCAAATAAAATGTAGCCTATGCAGAAGTATTAAAGGATATCAGAAGAGGAAATAAATGAAAAACTGAGCGTCAACTTTGATACAAGTTACGTCATTTCAATTTCCCTGAAACATTTAGGCTAATAAATCCCAAGACACCGTGATCTGGGTTGATCCAGTGCGTCTGAGCAGGACATTCAGTAACACATCATTTTTCATGTGCAGGTGTTTGTTAAACAGGTAACAGCGAATCCTCCTGCTCTGCACTGATAACTGGGAGACTTTATTAGTACCAACACAGTGCACATGTATGTAGACACAAACTCCATCAAAAGTTGTTAGAGCTGATGGGACAGCGGATCCAGCTGTGACCAGTTGCATTTTCTACCCCCCCCCCAGTCTAGAAACAACAAGGTTTATACACAATATTAAAGCCCCACAGTCTTTGACTTTTCTTATGTGTTTTGGTAAGAGGTGTCTGTCATTTTTGCATAAGCACCAGCGGGTAAAAGTTCATCTATAGAGAACGCATCTGACGGCTCATCATCTGACAGCGATCCACCTGCACGGAGCAGGCTAGAGACGCAAAAACGCTGTATTATTTTCCTCTGCCAACAGCAAGGACGGGCTGAATAGAGTGAAAACATTTAGGGAGGCATGATCATCAAAACGAATGATGCAGCACCGACATTCTGCCACCCACAGGTTGAAAACAAATACAGAAATTGGCATAGCAGTCTGAAAACCTACGTTTATCAAAAAGACCAAAAAGATTATTGGCCCCGTCTTGCAGCCAGAAACAAAGCGGCGCAAAGCGAGGCGAAAGCGTCAAGTTTCCAACGGCGCAGTTAAAATTTGCACACCAAGCGACCAAGTTGTTTAAATAGAAAATGCACTTGCACCTATCTGTGAGCTCATTGGAGTGCTGGTGTTTAAATGAGGTGAGGTCAGGCGCGTTGCTATTGAGGCAGCAGAAAGCGATTGTTTTTGTTACTTCAGAGGCGCATCACTGACACTGTGCGCATTTACGCACGAGGCACAGCAGCATAACTTCATTGATTATTAAAATCTCCTGACACGCTGACTCCCCCTCAGTCACTTCATCCTGGCGCCGGGCCTGTGCCGCAGTCATAAGAAACGGACGTCCCTTTATGTCTCAACACATTTCCTCGTCCCTTCTCTCCTGGCTTGGTTTCATTTCGTCTCTCCATGCATCCCAGGTGAGCGGGACTAAGACGCAAGGAAAAGACGTAGCCTAAGTGAGGGACACGTGGATGCAATGAAGAGACCTGAGAAGCACCCTTTGTGTCCACCTGAAATGTTGGATTAACACTCACCCTGCCAGCCTTCACTTTTCCTCCCTCTGCTCTGTCGACTCAAAGTAGTCTGAACTAAATGAACACACTTCTTTCCTGTTCTCATGAACCGGCTGAGTTCAGCACAGACAAAACGTAGTAAAATGTTTTTTTTCAACGGAAACGTGGTTCACTGAACCGCAGCTGATGTTAACACCCGAGACAAACGGGGGAAACACAGGCTACTTCGAAGCCCGTTGCACAACGTTGCAAGGAAACATGTTGTTTAATCCGAACAGGTTCAAAACGTTTTGAAACTGAACTCACCCCCTCCCCATTTACAGGAAATCACACCTGTCTGTGTGCTGCATGATGTGTTTATGAGCGTCTCTCTTGGCTTCACCAGAGTGAATTAAAATTATTTACTTTATACAAAGTTTTAGTGAAAATGTTGATAGCCTACAGAAATTATGTAAATTTCTGTTTGTTACAATTAAAGTCCATTAAACTAAACCATCAATATTAAAAAAAAAACTATACAACTTAGAGCTGACAGTGAAACTAAACGGAGTTTTATTAAATCAGGGTTTCATTATAACGTGCCTGCAGACATTTTAATAATATTTCCCGGCATGTTCTCGGACAGCTGTAGCCGCGGGACCGCAGCAGGGACGCGGACTGCGGGAGAGCCAGGACGCGCCCGCTCCCCGGGTGAGTAGCTCTCCGAAACACCGGTACACGTTCGGTTGTGGTGAAGCGGACCGTCCCGGGGACGCGCGGTCCGGCTCAGAGCTGGAGGGTGTGAGGAGGACGTGCAGCGGGGAGTCCCGACACCGAACTGACGTTTCACCGCTGCGAGGAACACAAAACAACACGACACCATTTCAGTCTGTAAGTTAGGCTGACTAGAGTTTGACTTTGGGGCCGTTTAGAAACGTGTTTATTCAGGACTGAGAGACTCAGACAGCTGCTACAGTAAAACACATCTTCAGTTTCCGCAGTGTTATGGTAGGAAAATATGTTCGGCTAATGTCAGACTAACCGGAACTGGTGCAATGGAACTTCCGGTTGAAACATCCAAAATAAAACTTTTCAAGGTTTGAGTGGAATATTTTACATTTACGATTTTATACGTTTTCAACACAGATTGGGAATTATCTCTTTACTTTAGAAGCATAGTCATTTATTTGCTCAGTTTTTAGTTATTTTTCCTGAAATAAATTCAGGATGTAACTCTCTAAACTTACACATGTTGTGTATTTTTCTAATTAGCTATATATCTATGAGCTCAGTATTTCTAAAGTTCTGTATGGCCCTGACAAACTGAAAGATGAGGTTGAGAAGCTTTAGGCTGATAACAGTGGAATAAAAAAATACATTTTAAAGCTATATTTAATATGATTTGCTCACTTAAATACAAATGTACTTTCTGTAGATTTTGCAATAAATAAATCAGTGAGATGAGCAACAAAAGTATATATAATTTTTCCTAATTAGAATCACTGCCACTCAGCATGAGAAATATGTGTTGTTTTACAAGGTAAAAAACAGTCATGGTAAATCAAAATGATCAGATATGCAATCAAAGTTATGATGATGATGATATACCATTATTATGAAAAGTATGGATTAACTAAATTGAAACCATATTATGAGATACTGAGTCATAACTTACGATGTGTTACTGAACTGTAAATTATGAGGTACTTTGAGTGTTTCTATTTTCTGCTACTTTCTTCTGCTGCTCTACTACATTTATTTAAATAATATCACTAAAATTAAAAGAAAAAAGTAAAATAAAATATTTAAAAAAATAGATTGACTAAAAGATCTTATCAAGGTCCACTTACTAGCTTTTTCAGTCACATTTCTTCCTAGGAAGGTGGAGTTTGCTCTGTTGTCACGGAGATATCCCAGCTGCCATCACATGACCTAAACCTCCTGTGATAAAAGGTCAGCGTATCTGCTGAGAAAGACTTCTGATGAAAGCACTTTAATTTACTGCTGTTACCAAAGTCAAGGTTTACCTGGTGGAGGTAAAAAGTTTGTCCTGAGGGTGGTGCTAGAGGAAATTCATGGAGTCATTGAAATCTGACTTGAAAGATCAATAGAACATTATTTATTTATTTATTTATTTATTGGTTTATTTTAGACAGACAGTGATCGCCATCTGTAGTCCCTGGACTGATGTTATAAAGTTACACTAAAAATGTGAATAATAACAGTAATAGAAAGATGGACTAAATAAGTCCATGTAAAATGTGTGAACTTAGTCACTAGTAATGTTAATGAACCTCCTCACATCTCAAGAACTGACCTCAGTCCCTGCGTGATCTGTTTTAACTTTCTGATTTTGTCATGAATAAACTGTCATAATCGTCGTCCTCCTCAGCAGCAGAATGTGCGACCGTCCAAAGATCCACGTCTTCCTGGGGGCTCCTCCTCCCTCCTCTGGCCCGGCCTTGGTGTCTGGAGCTGGGGAGGAGGGTGAGGAGCGTCCCCCTGCAGACTGGAGACACCTGGAGCTCACCTGGCAGCATGGACGTCTGAGGCCTGTAGCAGGTGAGGCATTCAGGAAGGGCTGGGAAACAGCATGTTCTACATTTAAACTGCTGTAGATGGTATTTATTTTTATTGATTTGGTAAAATATACTGTATTTTAAACCTGAAATCTTTTGTTGATCAACAGAAAATTGCTGCTTTTCTGTGTTTTAGATCAGTTAAAGAAATCCAAATTATTTGATAATGTTTCAGACGAGGCTGGAAATGAAACAAAATTATCATCCGAGGAGAGAAGCAGCAGGGAGAATGTAGAATCTGATCCATCTGCACCGAGGTTACAAAGAGAAGATGATGAAACAAACTCTGATCAGGATGACTCGTCCTCTAAAGCTGATCGGACCACAGAGACGTCACGAGAACCTGAAGGACGAGCTGGATCAGGCTGCACGTTAACCAAAGTGTCCTCGGACCATCACGGACCTGCAGAGAGATTTCTGAGCCCAGATGAAGAATTAAATCCCGGAGAGGATCAGTGTTCGGCTTCAGTTCATGAGTATCTGGACAGCTGTTTCCCTGCAGCTCAGCCAGAAAAACCAGAACCTCCACATTGTTCTAAACGCCAGCCGACACCAGCCGGCCCTCCTCTGTCCGCCCAGACTCAGTACCTCACCACCTGGACTCTGAGTCAGGCATTAATCCTGAGAGGCAGGTGTGGAGTCCAATTAGCAGCTACCCCTGAGAAAACCCCGACTCCTCAGACCCCACCCAAACCCCCCCAAACACCTCCATCTGTCTCCTCCAGCACCCCGGAGCTCTTCAGCCCTGTGACCCCCTCACCTGGAGCCTCCGCAGAGCTCTTCAGCCAACCCCGCCCAACCCCGAGGGCGGAGGAAGGGGGCGTCGTCGTCGAGGCCACCACAGACGGGGTGCTCTGCTCCCAGGAGGCTGAGCGACAGGAGCGCACGACCCCCAAAGCCTCCCCCTCCAAATCCCCTGATTTCAAGAAAGCTCGACTCTCAGAAAACCTCAGGACCGGAGCGTCTGTGGCCCCGTCAGACACCACCGTGGTCGCCGGGCCCCAAGGTGCCACCACTCTTCTGACACGGTGTGACAAACGAGGGGTGCGGTACTCGGTTCTGGTGGCGGTGGTTCACCCCTGTCACCTGAAGGAGGTCAAGGTGAGTGAAGATGTTACGATGAGTCTGATGATGATGGCAGGATGCTAACATTAGCTAATAAGCAGTAAACAGAGCTGAGGCTGATGGGAATGTGAGTAGTTCTGCAGGTATTTAGTCATAAAGCAAAGTGTTGGACACGTTAACATGTTGACCTGACCTGACCTGATGGTGGCACTAGAGGAAGTCAGTAGGATTCATTCTCTGGGGAACATCTGTAAAAAATGTTTTGCCAATCCATTTGAGGTTTTACAGTCTGGACCAAAGTGATGGACTGAACAACTAAAATATGTGTAAGAGTCCATGAAGTGGTTGAAAATCCTAAAAATAAAATAAGGATCAATGATTTAGTTTCCTGTGTTTGATCTGTTGGGTTAAAGGTGAAGTCGGGGCCGGCAGCAGGGACCTTCGTTCCTCTGGCGTCCATCGTGGTAACAGACCAATCAGGCGTCGAGATGAAGGTGGTGCTCTGGCGGCGAGCGGCGTTCTGGGCGTTGACCGTCAGTCCTGGAGACGTTCTGCTCATCACAGGTACAGAAACAAACACAAAGGAGTCATTCCTGTAACAACCACACCTGCTGCACGCTGTGATTGGTCAGCTGTGTTCAGGTGTTCAACTTCACTTTTCGAGTGCAACACTTATTGTCTCCCTGTCTCCGGTAAAACCCTGTCTCTGAGGATTATAAACCTCTGCAGCCTTTCTGTTTCAGATAAACCTTCACATTCATGGATCTGTTTGTCAAACCTTCCTCTCTGGATCAGATTTCATCGCCTCCTTTATTTCACGAGGTCATGGACGCTCAGTTTCAGACGTGGACGCCACCTCCTTTATGCTCCTTTCTTCCTCTCAGGACTGCAGGTGAATGAAGACAGGTGGAGAGGAGAGACGGTGCTGCAGTCGACCTTCAGCAGCAAACTGCTCAACCTGGGACAGATCGCTGCCTCCGCCTCACCACCAGGTACGACCGACCCCAGCCTGCGACCAATCAGCAGCCTCCACAGGTGAGCGTCAAACTCAAAGCTAAAGAGTCTCTCTCTCTCTCTCCAGTTCCTCAGAGAGTTAATGCTCGCTCGCTCAGCTCTCTGTGCGGCTTTCTTCGGGAACGGCGCCCCATGCTGTTGTCTTTGAACCTTCGCCCCCCACAGGACCTGAACCGCCTCCCCTACACCGCCCTGAGGTCCCTGAGGGCCAACACGCTGGTTCACGCCCTGCTGCGAGTCAAACACACACATATCAGCACAGGTGAGCGGGTCACAAACAATTAGTCACTGAGCTAAAGTGGTTTAGAGGCGGTACATTTATAATCCTACTTCAAATCTACATCATAGGTATGTGCAGCATTAGCCTGACGCACACCTCCGCGAAACTGTAAATACGCAAAAATCTCCTGTGTATGTTTCTGCTGTGTCTGTTTTTTGGTCCCTGATGTGGACGTGTTGTCAACAGTTAGTGTTTTTAATATAGATTTAACTGTAACTAATAGATTGTGACAGTCGTGTGGAAAACACACACCTTCCATGATATCTGGGGAACTTCAGGAAAAGAAGTTGTCAGAATAACAATAACAATAAATGTCAGCAGGATACATGAAAAAAATACAAACAGTACATGGACAAGGAGGTCATAACCCAAGAATACATACAGGAGGTTAGAAAGAAGCAGCCGGCCTGAAGAAGCATGTTTCAAAAGTAAAACCCCAGTTTCTGCTTTTTCACAAGCTGTTGGATTTGAAATTGAAAAGAAATTATGTCGTACAACAAATCCTAAATATTTAAAGGAAGAAACATGCTCAGTATTTTGACCATGCTCTGTAACAGTAGCTTGTGAGTTCAGTAGCTTCTTCTTAGAATTTGTAAACAATGTTTGGTTTTATCAGCTAGTTTTAAAAGACGTTTCTGGACTGACTTTGTATTAAAACACTGTCATCAGCAAAGAAACAGACTTTTGTAATCAGTAGATTATATATAAATACAGTGGTACAGTTGTCTGAGGACAGAGGCCTGTGGGACACTGCTGGGCTCTGTAAACTGTCCTGGTTGATTGGTTGAGATGCTGAAGAGTCTTAATGAGGTGGATGGTTGTTAGGGTGGAGGAGTGAGGCGGAGTCTCGCTGCAGGTCGGCTGTTCAGATGAAGGCTGTTCTGACTGTGGAGCAGCCAGACAGCCAGCAGGGGGCGCTGCTGCTGTGGGGAGCAGCTGTGGACTGGCTGCCTCGCTTCAACAGAGAAAGAGGTACACACACACACACACACCACACACACACACACACACACACACACACACACACACACACTAATCTTAAACAGCTGACTCACAACATAATAAATCCTCGTTCTTCTTCAGCGGCTGTCTGGGACTTCCACGTCCTCCTGGTGAGGGAGGGTTTGACCTCTGACCTCCTGGAGCTGCACTCCACGCCCTGGAGCTCCGTCCAGCCTCTGGACCCTGCCAGCCGCCGAGCGCAGGACTTCCTCCAACCACGACCCGTTGGGACAGGAAACAGCAGCAGCCTGGAGTTGGACCTGGACACGCTGCTGTCACAGAAATACAGCGGTGAGTCTGAGAGCTTCGTTACTGCGACATGAACATGAAATAAAGTTTTTAAAGTGCAGAAATATTGTCTGGGTTACTTTTCCAGAGCTGAGATGAACTCCTGTTTCAAACTGAAGGTTTTGCTAAGTGTTTTAAATTAATTTCTAATTACAGGCTGACTTCCTGTGTGTGACTGGTGACCAATCAACGTGTTAAATAATCAAACTAACAGCAAAATTTGACCTGCTCTCTGCTCCACCAGGTGACGTGGAGCTCAGAGTCCAGGTCACCAGTTTCCGTTTCCAAGATTCTCCGCCCTCCCAGAATACACCTCAGCCGGCGCTGGACAGCTCCACGCCGCTCGACGGGATCCTGGCGGCACTGACCGGTGACATCACCTTCACCGGCTGCGGACGCTGTGCCTCAGAGCTTGATACCGACGCCAACGGCATCTACGTGCCCTGTTACCCCTGCCTGCCCCACACTGCTGTGCGCCGCTACTACAGGTACGCCTGACATCATCGAGGTGATTATTATGATGATGTTTTAGGAAATCCTCTTATTGTAACAAGACACAAATGTTGCTTTAGGAATGACAATAAAAATACAAAATAGTAAAATATGAGATTTTGTGTTCAGAAACATTAATAACTCAGTTTGTGTGTCTCAGGCCAGCTGTGCTGACAGTGAGTGGGCGGAGCAACAGCCAGGTGTGTCTTCAGGTTCCTCCTGTTGTGCTGCAGGAGATCCTCGAAGCTCCACCTGATAAACTCCACAGGAGCTCAGGTGAGACACAAACGGACTTTTTATCAGCTGAAGTTCAGCTCAGTGAAGCTTTACTGTGGTTCTGAGATCTCAAAGATGAAGCGCCTCGTTGCCAGTTCAAGTCCTCGTTCAGTCCGACCTCTGTGATGTGTCGTTCCTCATCTCTCTCCACTCGTTTCATACTTATCATCGTCCTGCTGTAAACGGTCTCATAAAGGATGCAGGGTTCCTCTACATCAGTGGTTCTCAACCTTTCCCCCCCGTGTGTCTCTCAGTTCCGGGTTCGGAGGTGAAGCACATCCAGGTGGCAGCAGAGAGGATCCAGACCCTCCTCTCACTCCCGAGAAAAACCTTCATCATCACCGTCCGGAGCCACTTCCTGTGCGACGAGAACAGCGTCCCCATCAATCAGGACTTCACGCTGCTGGACCTTCAGTTCCCCAGCTGACGGACTGCAGATGGTGAACCTGCAGACCAGATCCCAGCCTCCTCAGTGAGGACTGGTTGGACCTGAGATGGGTTCAGGATCAGGCCCGGTTGGATTTTTGTTTGTTTTTGTTTGATTGCAGCGGACTGATCACTAAACTCCTCCCCCAAAGACCAATTATCCAATCACAGCCAAGCTTCGCATTTCTCCAAAAGCCAAATTGTTGGACCTGCGATGTAGTGACACTATCAGTTTTTATAGAGTTGAAAGGACCTTTTTTAGTCGTCCAAAACTACAGAATAAACAGTTTATTTGCTCTAATGTAAGCTGCTAACGTTAGCATGTCCTGCTAACTAGCTAAAGTAGAAACTTTCCAAGTCAGCAAGAGACTCATGGAGTTTTTCCATAAAGTCTGCCACATGTTGACTGTAAAGTACATGCTGTTCCAGTGCCAGAAAGAAAACTAAGCAGGTAGTGGGGGATGGGGGGGCCTTATCACAGAGTCGTTATTAATAAATGAAATATTTTCCAAACGGTGAAAATGTTCTGGAGAGAATTTTCTGTGCTTTCATCTTAAATTTAAAGATATTTTTTTTATTAATCTCCAAACAGTTTTATATTCTTGGTTTATGTTCATGTACGTTCTAGTTTATTTGGACATGAGTGGTATTTATTGTTCCGGTAATCATGCTTCAGATTATGTCAGTATGAGCTACAGTTTATCACAAAATGTCCATAATCTAATAAGAAAACTCATTGATAATCTACTAAACACAATAAAAATGATCTGGTTCTGATAAATATCAAAATCTAACAACAACTTCATTAGAAACAGTATCACAGCTGTTTGTTGTTCTGGTTTATCTGGGGTTTTTTTGTTTGTTTTTTACTTATTCCACAAATCTCACAAGGTGATGGAGGTGAAACGCTGCCTCCTGTTTGTTTACAGGTGAGGTCAGCTAAGCCTTTGTGTTCCTGTTGAACAGCACAGGTGCGTCTGGTAGCTGGTGGGAAGAAAATCCAGGGACTGACTCAACAAATGGTCTTTATTCACAACTACCAACAATAAACAGCAGTCTTTAGAATAGCTGAATGATAATAAACTTTGTGTGTGTTTGGTTCTGCAATAACAAATAATATAATCCAAAATAAGAACTGAATGTGTAAATATACATAAAGCAAAGGGTTATAAGGAAAACACCTTTATACAGGCAGGCGTCCTGCTGACAGCAGCTTGTGTAAAAACTATAAAGTGGAAATAAACTGCAATACTGTAATATTCCACAAGTTGGAGCTCCAACACATTCAATATGTTTTGGCCCTTAACAGTCGGCATTTGCCCTGATTCAGTAGTCTGGGACTGCAGGCCTCCTGTCAGACAAAGCTTGGAAACACTGTCATTTACACTGGGGATGCTGGGGACATGTCCCCACCACTTTTTAAAGCATAATTTGTTAAAAAACGTTCTGAAATACAGCTTGCAGTTTAATAACAAAGGAAAATGCCTTTAGAAAGGTTTGTTTGCACATTAAGAAAACATGCTGATTATAAAATGACCCAAAAACGTTCATGCACCAGGCAGTAAGTTTAACAACTTCATGATGCAGTTTCTGTTTAGCTAAGTTTTCCGTTCTCTCCTTGTGAACATGACAAAAGAGGAGGGAAGAATGACCCATGCTACATCTGTGTTGCCTCAGCAGGGATGATGTTACATGAGAAAAGGTGATCTGCAGGAGAATCAGATCTGTCACCTGCCACCTGAATCTTGTTTCCCCTTACATAAATACAAACATTTCCACCATAAATTGATGCAGAAACTTTCACCAGAATTGTGTCTCTTCACACCCCTAATCTGAGCCCTTACGTCCCCACCACTTTCAACACAAAGTGAAGCCCCTGACTTAGACTGTCTCCCAACAATTGAGCCTAGATAGCCAAATATTACTGTGTGACCATAACAAGTTCAGAATAAACCAAATACATAACAAATGTCCTGGGGCTTTTTATCAGTTTCTGACTCTGGGAAAGTAGAAACAGTAAAAATAACCAAACTGCCGAATCTCTGAACTCTCCCTTTAACTTTAAATCTCTGCCCTGACCCACTCTCACAGATCAGCCAACAGAAATAACCTCACCTGTCCACTACAGGTGTTATTAGCTGGGCCCTTACTACAACAGTCTGAGGCTCCCAAAGCAACAGAAACACTCGAGCCACCGTAAACAGGACTCACATTCACACACCGTACCCTGCGTCACATGACCAAGGAATGGCTTCTTCTTCTTCTTGAGTGTAATTGGCAGTTGGCACCAACCGGTGATCAGGGATCAGAATGACCACTCATATGCTCTCAGATACTGAAATGTATATTGATACTGAGCTTTTATACTGATTATGAAGAAAAACTAGGGAAACAAACTGAGGAGCTCAGTCCATGTGGGAACTGCACTGTCGCCAGTTCAACGCAGCACCAACCACTGCTGAAGGCGCCTCGGAGGCCAACTGCTGCTTCTCAGGGTGGGTTAATGCAGAGGACATATTCCACATGCAGTGCACTGTTTATAAATTGTATGTGGCCAATGAAGTTGATCATATGAAAAAGGAGTGTTGTGGTGGCAGCCCGGCTGACGGTGAGCGTCCTGGTTTTTTCTACTTTTTATCAGTTTTTCTGCTTTTTTCCTTGGTTTTCTGTTCTCTGCCCGCCTCCCTGTGTTTTCTCCCCTGTGTGCTCTCTCTCTCTCTCTCTCTCTCTCTCTCTCTCTCTCTCTCTCTCTCTCTCTCTCTCTCTCTCTCCCTCTGCTCCTGAGCCCAGCCAACTACCTGCACCTGCATCTCATCAGCCACCTCGTCAGCCTGCCACACCTGCCAGTAATCACCTCATGACTGCCTGTATTTCAACCCCGGTTCTCCACACCATCCTCGCTTGATCGTCGTTGCTCCATACCTGGTGCCACCCCCACGTTCAGGCTTTCATGTTTCTTGTTTTTTTCACATTTATCCTGTGCCTTGTCGCTGTCTTCCCTAACCTTGTCTGTCTGTCTCCCTCCCAGGTACACTCACCCCCGTCCTCCGTTCGGCTGTGCTCATCCACCGGCCCACTCCTCCTCGGACTTCCCTCACGGCGTCCTCCCTGTTCCCCCGCCTCTCCTCGCTTCCTTGGCCCCTGTGTTCCCCGGCTCCCTGGCCCCCTGTCTCCTTGGTTCCCCGTGCCTGTGCTTCCCCCGACGTCCTCCTCTCCCTCCACTCCGGTCCCTCTCACCCTTTTCCCCTCAATAAACCTCCTTCCCTCAGAGTGCTGCATTTGGGTCCTCTCTGTCCATACACCGTACAACCTCATAACAAGGAGTTACTCATTCTGAGTCAGCTGCCTTCTTCCCTCCTTGTATTTCTGATGCAACATGCTGGTTCTTGTTGCCCACAGAAGTCACATCTGCCTGAGTTATGTTTACCTTTTTTAACCGAAGTACCGTTTAGTCCAGTGAGTCCAAATCTGAGTGGATATAGTCTCGTCTCTCGCGTTCCTTCCTTCACATCTCGTTTCTCCCACCTTTCCTTCACTCTGTTTAATGATGTTCTTGGTTTCTGTCTTTCTGAAGCTAACTACCAACTCCATGTGATCTCCTTTCTGTTCTTTCATTGCCTTTGCCCCATAAAAACACGATTAAGAGCCGCCATCTGAACTCTGATGTTCGTTGTACCTGGGGTCTGAATGACTGCTCTGTAACTGGCTTGATGAACTTGAGTCTGGACAAATGATTTAGAACTAAGACTGCTGGGAATTTGAGTTTTTAAAAGGATAACAGTGTTGTGCACCTATGGTTCTGTGTAATGCCTGTCACTTTGCCTATAACTAGGCTGCTGATTGACCTGACCTGACCACGGCGTCTCCATGTGGTCGTGCTTAAGCTGACATTTACAGAAAACACAGGTGTCAGTGATTAAATGCTTTATTCAAAGTTTTACCTGTTGTTACATCTAGATTTAGCAAAGTAAACCTGACACTTGTGCTGAAAATGCATTAAAACGTGGTGTGAGGAAGAGACAGTAAAAGGTGCCACGGAGGAAAAGCTCAAAATCACAGTCTGACCGCAAACATATCATCAGCTAGCATTAGCCGTCTTCTCCATTCCCTAAATCATGACCTTCATGTGCTTTGTGGCTTGTATTTTATTGTTTTTTGAAAAGGATTTTTGCCCATAATACAACTCAGGAAAATTAATCAATCAAATATCAAATGTTATGCTAACTTATTTGATCAAGATGAGCTCTTACTTAATATAAGTAAATATTAAGTAATATAAAGTGTTCTTACATTTCTGTTAGTGTACAGATTAACACACAAGAGACTGTACAAAGTGTTCATTCATCAGTGATCTCATAAATAACAAGCATTAAAAGTCTTTGAAAAAGCTCAACATCCTGACAGCTGAGGTCTCGTTACAGACGCGGATACAGACTGAAGGTGAGGTCGGTTGACTTTCAGCAGAATCTGGTTTCTCCTCAGAGGTCAGGATGCAGGTTTCTGTCATTTTAATTCCCTGCAGACATTTCATTGGCCACATCCGACAGATCAGAGAACAAATCTGAGACGGAACAAAAGACAACAGTTAGTTTCGCTTGTACGATCTTTCTTTTGCCTGCTAGACCTTTCGCAGGGAGAGAAACACAACCTATGAACATAAACTTCACTCCACCAGCTGTTTATCTCCATCATGTTCATACAGCAGCAGTGGGTGGAGACAGGCAGCAGTTACTGTAAATGATGTTAATATTTGCTCCACATTTGGATGGAAAAATCCTGTCACCAGAGACGACTGCGTAGTAAATACATCAACATGTAACAATAACATATCAGGAGACACATTTCAGTCACATTAAGATTTAAATTGATATTTTCATGAACGATGTGATGTGCCACACTAGTACTTTGTGTTTTTACTGTCTTTACTTCAGTAAAAGTACTAATACCACGCTGTAAAAGTCCTGCAGTGAAAATGTTACTTCAGTATGACAGAATAATCAGGAGAAATGTCCTCAAAGTATTAAAGCAGTAAAATCTTGTCCTATTCTCTCTCCTCAGGTTCTTCTTCCTCAGTCCATTGATTGTTTGGTTTGTAAAGATTCTGCTGTCACAGCCCAAAGTGACTCCTTCACAACCAACAGTCCAAAACTCAACGTTATTAACAATCATTCAGAGAAAAAAGGAAAAGCAGCAAATTCTCACATGAGGAGCTGAAATCAGCAGATAGTACTAAGTAGTTTAATTTACAACATCAGATTTGATCAAATTCTTTGTAAAAATCTTCATCTGTCACATAAATGAAGTGCAGAAAAAAGTGCAGGACTACCCTCTGAGATGTAGTGGAGTAGAAGTACTGATATTTCAATTTTAAACTTAAGTACAGTACCTAAGTGGACATAGTAGTAATGCTGAACAAATAATTGATTTAAAAAAAAATGCAATATGGCCTGGTGCAGTTCAAATCGCAGGAGGTGCAATATTTCTAAAAGTGTTATATGTGTCAAAATAGCATTTTAAATCGGACATTGTGGTGCTGCAGAGACATCTGGCCTACACATCCCGTTCTACAGACGTAAGGAAACATCTTTTGTTGGTATCACACCATAATATAAAATATTTTTTTCATTGAAAATGATAATTGTGGGGAAATGATCGTTCTGTCTGGTATCGCAAATCATATTGGAATTGTGATATCAGTAGAAATAATCGCTTATATTATTTCAAGTCATCGTCGTTATTGTCATGACCTGTAGAGGTCGCTGGTCAGCCGAGGTCAGTCTG